TCGAACATAGCCCTAAAGGTGAGTAGTGGTTCAGTAACGCTGTTTAATAATTTACTTTTTTTTCAAGTTGTTAAAATGAATGAGGTTATGTCAATGATTCCATGGTGTCGTGTTCGTTTGCAGGGGTTATGTCAATGATTTCAGCCTGATAATCTCGCAGATGGCCTTCAATTAAATTATGGCTTGTATTCAGTGTCCAAGGTACGGAGGCCTAACAAGGGTCCCACAGGTGGCTTTCGTAATTTCTCCTAGTGGGTTTCATTGATTGAAAAACTGGGATCCACTCACCACTCACATGGTTCCTGTTCATCACTGAGTGGTACATTCAAGCCAATTGTCTTATCCAGCAAGACAGGTCCCAGTGTAAAATCTATGATTTATTCACGATAATTTATAGAGGGACTGTGATTAGACAAATGAGCAACGATATAAGCATATTGGTTTTGCATTGGCATAATTACATGCGGGTGTGTGTGGCTTGGCATAACGATATGTGGTTGTGTGTGGCTTGGCACAACGACATGCGGTTGTGTGTGGCTTGGCACAACGACATGTGGTTGTGTGTTGCTTGGCACAACGACATGTGATTGTGTGTGGCTTGGCACAACGAACATGTGGTTGTGTGTGGCTTGGCACAACGACATGGGGTTTTGTGTTGCTTGGCACAACGACATGCGGTTGTGTGTGGCTTGGCATAACGGCATGTGGTTGTGTGTGGCTTGGCACAGCGACATGCAGTTGTGTGTGGCCTGGCACAACGGACATGTGGTTATGTGTGGCTTGGCATAACGACATGTGATTGTGTGTGGCCTGGCACACCATCATGTGGTTATGTGTGGCTTGGCACAACGGGCATGTGGTTGTGTGTGGCTTGGCACAACGGACATGTGGTTGTGTGTGGCTTGGCACAACGGACATGTGGTTATGTGTGGCTTGGCATAACGACATGTGGTTGTGTGTGGGTTGGTACAACTGACATGTGGTTGTGTGTGGCTTGGCACAACGGACATGTGATTATGTGTGGCTTGGCATAACGACATGTGGTTGTGTGTGGCTTGGCACAACGTCATGTGGTTGTGTGTGGTCTGGCACAACGTCATGTGGTTGTGTGTGGCTTGGCACAACGGACATGTGGTTATGTGTGGTTTGGCGTAACGGCATGTGGTTGTGTGTGTCCTAGCACAACGTCATGTGATTGTGTGTGGCTTGGCACAACGGACATGTGGTTGTGTGTGGCTTGGCACAACGGACATGTGGTTATGTGTGGCTTGGCATAACGACATGTGGTTGTGTGTGGCCTGGCACAACGGACATGTGGTTGTGTGTGGCTTGGCACAACGGACATGTGGTTGTGTGTGGCTTGGCATAATGACATGTGGTTACGTGTGGCTTGGCACAACGACAAGTGGTTGTGTGTGGCTTGGCACAACGACATGTGGTTATGTGTGGCTTGGCACAACGACATGTGGTTGTGTGTGGCTTGGCACAACGACATGTGGTTATGTGTAGCTTGGCAAAATGACATATGGTTGTGTGTGGCCTGGCACGACATGTTATGTGTGGCTTGGCACAATGTCAGGTGGTTACGTGTGGCTTGGCACAACAACATGTGGTTGTGTGTGGCTTGGCACAACGTCATGTGGTTACGTGTGGCTTGGCACAACGACATGTAGTTGTGTGTGGCCTGGCATAACGACGTGTGGTTGGATGTGGATTGGCACAACGACATGTGGTTACGTGTGGCTTGGCATAATGACATGTGGTTGTGTGTTGCCTGGCACAACTGCATGTGGTTACGTGTGGCTTTGCACAATGTCATGTGGTTGTGTGTGGCTTGGCACAACGATATGTGGTTGTGTGTGGCTTGGCACAACGGACATGTGGTTGTGTGTGGCTTGGCACAACGGACATGTGGTTGTGTGTGGCTTGGCACAACGACATAATTGATAATAATTCGTTGATTGATTTGATTTCTCTGATTTCGAGCTTTTCGGTATTGTTTTTAGCCTTGAAAGTAAATATAAATTACCAATGTCTGATTGCTATGTTAATTCATTTATTGATTTGAGTTAAAAAATAGTAATATCGAGAGTGCCCTTCTTTATAATTTAGCTCAAAGTACGCATGCTCCATGCACATGATACTTGCTATGTGAGTGTGAGTGGCGTATGTGAACGTCCGCATACACCATGATATTGATAATAGTCCTGTTATAATTCCGGGTACACTTCTTAACAGTTACTCTTGTAATATTAGAGGGGACTTCTGATGTCTTTAGCTGTTTCTAGATAAAATCCC